AGAGCAGGAATGTGTTCCTTTGTTTTTTGTAGGATGAGAGATACTGCAAGGAAAGTGGAAGAAAAATATTTTTCCAATCTCGCGACGCACGTGGAATTCCTTCCAGTGGAGTGGAGATCAAAGCTGACCCTCGATGGAGGTACAGCACTCGGTTATTTTGCAGTTCCAGCAGCTGCACTCTCAAAATTCACCCCAAAATTTTCATCTGTGAGCTCTGCTTGTGCCTTGCTTGGATTTTGGTTTGGCTTTGTTGGCAAAACTTTGAAAATTCCCATCCCAGGCTGGGTTGGGTGGGGTTTGGAGCACCCTGGGGTGGTGAAAGGTGTCAGGGGCTGGAATGTCTGTGATTCTATTTTATCATCCTCTGGGTGTAACTCAAGCCTCTTTTTTTGTATTTTTCCAGACACTGTGGATTCCATAACTCCAGATAAAGTGCGGGGTTTGCGGGATATGCTCAACAGCAGCGCCATGGACATCATGTACTACACCAGCCCTCTGTACAGGGATGAAGTAAGTGTGGGAAGCATTTTTATGGAAGTTTTTACTGCAGCAGGGCYTAGAGATCAAAATATTCTGGGCTTKGGAATGTCAGGAAAAGTCTCCTTCGAGGAAAACCTGTTAAAATGTTGTGGGTATGTCACGGTCACCTGTAGGAGTCAAATTTTTAAGACTGAGAGAGGAAGAAAGAGAGTAAAAATTCCAATTCATGTGATTTATTTAGAGTAGAAATGTCTGTCTAAGAAAAACAGCTTAGAAACAGAAAGGGTTTTAACAGCATTCTTTTTACATTTCTGTAATGTAATTTTTTACATTACAATTTACATATTTAGAGCAATGGGAGTCTGTAGAGCTGAGATTCTTTTTGCCTCTGACAAAAATCCACGGACATTTTCCCTTCATTTCTGCCAATTCTGAGGACAGATGGGATGGCAGCTCCTTCAAATGCCTTTGTGTGCACTTGCCTTGCAGGGAAATCAAAATGATCCCATTATTCAGTTTATTGGGGGATTGTTGGTATCCTGGGTGCTCCCATCCTTCCTTGTCCCATCTGCTGAGTGACCCCATTAATCAGAGGAGAAAAATCATAAATATGGTAATAAATGGTAGTGGCCTGTGAAAATGATAAGCCTTGAATAAATTATAATAGCCTGAATAAATGAAAACAACCAGAATAAATGATAATAACATGAATAAATTATAACAACCAGAATAAATGATAATAATGTGAATAAATGACAATAACCTGAGTAAATTATAACAACCAGAATAAATGATAATAATGTGAATAAATGACAATAATCTGAATAAATTATAACAACCAGAATAAATGATAATAACGTGAATAAATTATAACAACCTGAAAAAAATGATAATAACCAGAATAAATGATAATCTGAATAAATGAAGTAGCCTGTAAAACAAGCACAGTGCTTCACCCCAGTAACACCCCTTGTGTATCACACTGGAAAATCCCTGTGGGGCTGTTTTAGGATGAATTTCTGTAGGAACTGTAGGGTTTTTTCAGTGTTGGCTGTGTCATGAATGGAGCAGTGTTAATCCTTTTGCAGCCCTGGTACCCTGAGCAGGATTAGATTGGGGCARGGTGAGACTCTCAAAGCTCACCTGGGGATTTGATCCCACCTTTCAGTCAGATGAAGGGTGTTTAAATCCTTCAGACTGGCAGCATGATTTTAAAACTGAAATCTGTCCCTCTCCTCCTGCTCTGTAATGCAGAATTCATTGATCAGGGCTCCCCACTGTGGCTCAGGTTTCCCTGTCTCTTGTGTGCCTGAAGCYAATGTGAACTTTGGTGGCAAGCAATAAAAACTTCAAAAAATATATCCTTAAACTGCATKAGAGGTTTGGCATGTCTGTGGGCATCTGATGGGAAGTGGATTAGGGAGTAAAGTTCAGCTCTGCAGGCCAGCAGTGCATGAAAATTTAATTCATTGCTCAGCAGAACTGCAGTTTGACAGGTTTATCATTGTCCCTGGGTGTGAAAATTGACATAAAATGAGTGTGCTTGGATCTGATTGCAAAAYACCGAGTTGTTTCTTTCATCAGATGAATTTCCTTGAAATTTCCTTTCCAATTTCCTTTGCAACAATGCACACAGGTTGCTCCTTTTTATCCCATTTTATTTGCTGTGCCCTAACTCTGCAGAGTTAACACAGCAGTGTCAAGTGGAGCATTTTTCTGGAGGGTTTTCCCCTCTTCATTGAATTTTTCTTGTGGTACTTGGCTTGTTCCAGTTCAGGGATGATCCTKGTCTTGGAGCACACGGAATTCCTGTTCCTGTTCCTGCTCTGTCACCCCAACACCATTCTTTGTGTATTCTGGGCACTTCCAGTGCTTTCCATCCAGAAATCCTCAAAGGATCTAAAAAGGAGATTATTGAACTTTCCTTTGCCTCTGGGAAATAAATTGAGGAATGTGAAGAGCTTGGGCTGGAGAGTGAAGCTGCTGTT